CCCTTCCCACGTGACTGATTCTCTTGCTCAGGAAACTTCTCAGTACACCATACGGGAACGCCAAATCGTCGCGCTTGTTGATGGACTGGGGGCCTGAGGACCATGACTCCAGCAGCTCGTGACTCACGCGGCTGTCATTCCTTGCGAGGATTTTGGCCTCGTCAAACTTGAAAATATGGCGAGAATACTTAATCATGGGCAACTGTAGAATGGTGTGATACATGCACAGACGGCGTGGTATTTATAGATGGTAATTATCAGATCCTGTAACTACCGCTTGGAGTCGTAATTGGTGCGGTGATGGTTTGGCAGTTCACGTTCGGTTCATTAATTGCCGCGATTTCGTGGTTCGGGTAGGATGTGGATGTGATATTTGCGCCACAATTATGTTAGCTGTCGTCGGAGTTGTTGCTGGGCCCGGCTCTTTCCACGTGACTGATTCTCCTGCTCAGACAATGTATCAGTACACAGTGCGGGAACGGAACCTCGTTGCGCTTGTTGATTGTTAGTGGGCCTCAGAACCATGATTCAAGCAGCTCGCGGCTCACGCGGTTGCCACGTCTTGCGAGGATTTCGGCCTCGTTAAACTTAAAAATGTGACTCGAAAGCGAACTGCCACGCCATTACCGCACTAATTACGACCCCAAGCGGTTGCCATAGTAACTAATAACCATAGCCCATACATCAATGGCCTCTACGATCTATAAATACCACGTAATCTGTGTATGTATCACTCTATCCTGCGCATGTCTCACACCATTCTACAGCTGCCTACGCTTAAGTTTCTCGAAAGAATCCGAAACGTCGGAAAGATACAATTCTTGTTGCAGTGATCGCATATTCTTCTTCTAAACTGCTTCCTGGAACTCACAGTTTCGCTTCTATCGGCAGTTTAATAGGTTTTGGCCAGTCCTTGAGGAAGGCTGGCCACTGCGCATACATTAGTCACACCCACTTACTCCTGGTGACGTCATTTAACTTGTGATGAGATGGGCGGGGTGATTAGCATCCGTATCTGTCACCCGCTATCAAACGAATATGACATATTTTCCGTTGACCAAATTATGAAAAAGCTGCGGCCTCGGTGGAAGTCAAACTCACG